GTTATAAAACTTTGAATTCTTGAGGTTTAGGACAGTCTCATGGATCAGTCCCTAGCTTCCCATCCTTAACAGTTGCATAAAGGTATTTGCTGAATATAACGTGGAAAAAAAATGTATGCAGTGCTCAGAGACCAGGGATTTTATGCTTAGAACATTCCAAATGAGGTGCTTAATTCTTGAAATAATAAATGATGATAATATTGGGTTAAGAAAATTGTGGTAGCCGGCAAATAATGCTCAGAAAATTTAAGGGTGTTTGTTTTGTTGTTATCATTGCTGTTGTTGGTTTTTGGGAGTTCCCAGTCCTAAGTTCTTTTTTGTTATTGTTTGGTTGTTTGCTTGCTTTGGTTTTTTAAGACAGGGTTTTTTGTGTAACCCTAACTGTCATGGAATTCGCTCTATAGACCATGCCTGCCTCTGGGTCCAGAGTGCTGGGATTAAAGGCATTCACCACCACTGCCCATAAAAGTACCCAGTCATAGCGGGTATTTGTTTGTTTGACATGTTGTTTGTTTCCTGAAGAACTCCTGTTTTGATCAAGTTCATCCTGGTCCACTCAACCCAGGCAGCTGTGCTGAGCACAACAGCTCTTGCCAGTCTGTAGTCAGCCAGCAGCGCACACAGTTTAGAGGCTCATGGCTGAGCCACTAATCAACGAGGGTATTGTCCCCAAGAGAGGATGTTTGCAGTTACTGAGAATTTACATTTCCTAATCTCCACATCTGTGGAAATTCATTAAGTCACGCATGCTGGAAAGCACTAGCTAGCTGCTTGTCAGTCACGCTGCTTGACTTTTGCTAGCCTCCCTGACAGCGCAGCCCCATCACTTACAGTATTTCTGAGCTGTAGTTGAGGATTTTAGGCTATGAATAGCACTGAGATTAATGGCACCAACACCCTTATCTACAACAGTAAAGTCATGTGAGTCCCAGTTCTTTCCCAAAATATGTTCCCTAGAATTGACTACAAAACCAAACTTAACTTACAAAGAATTCTAAAACCAACATCCACAGGGTTTTCCTTTCTTTTATGTATGGGCACAAAGAGATAGTTACAGTTAATGTGCATTCATGTTTTAGAAGTCAGTTCCTTGGGCCACCTACTTGAATCCTGCTCAGTCAAAGGGTTTGTGTTTGGTAGGATGTAAGGCTAATATATTTTTTTTTTATCTAATTGCAGACATGCCTTGATGGGGCAGAATCTATTGCAGTGTGATTTTTAGATTTTGCTCTAGTTTGATCTGGAATGTTCCTCTTGAGTCCAGTTTGCACTGCTACTGAAAACTTTGGGAGGTAGAGCCCAGTAGAAAGAAATGAGGTCAATAGAGTTTGCCTTTGGGAGAAATTCTGGGTACAGGGCCCTTCCTGTCTCTCTCTTCTCTCCAGCTGCCATAAGGTAAACTAGACACTTCTGCCATGTTTCCAGGCCATGACAGTCTGCCTCTTCACAGGCCCACAGGAACAGGGCCGAATCAGCAGGGATCGGAACGTCTGGAAGTTTAAGCTGAAACAAACCTTCTGTCCTCTTAAGCTGATGACTTCAGATATTTGTCATATCAATGGAATGCTGATTAGCACACTGTGCTCAATGTCCATCTACCAGACGATGGGATTGCTTCTGGATCGCTCTCCACTTCTCTCTGACTTGTCACCTAGGCTTGGAAGTATGCCCATTTCTACCAAAAATGATAAGCCCAGACAGTTACCGACTCAGGAAGAGGCTACAGAGGTTAAGAAATCATGATGCAGTTTCCTTTCTAGAAAGTACCAAGGTCTAGTGTTTGTTCCCGTGTATGATATAGGCCTCGGCAGGGGCTCCTTTAATGGACAGTGTAATGAAACTATGGTTGAGAGAACCAGATTCCTGTATGTTCTTAGGATCACTGCTAAGTGTCAGCAAAAAGGCTTCTGGTTTACACATTCTTCCTTTTCCTAAAACCTTTAGTTAGATTTTCACAATGTTGGAGCCACAGATGCCTATAAGAAGCTTTGTTCTATACAAAACTGTGTATGTATGTGTGTGTGTGTATATATATATATATGTGTGTGTGTGTGTGTGTGTGTAACAGTTTATATACATATATATCTATTTTTGTGTGTCTATCTATCTATCTATCTATCTATCTATCTATCTTTGATAACAAACTGAGTTCCAGAGTTTACAAGGACATTCCCTAAGAATGTCTTTGAAAACTGTAACCATAGTATTTTAGGTCAAAGGGAGCTTGGAATGCTTACAGTTCAACCTGATTTTTCCAGATAGGGAAAATATCCAGGAAAGAGCAAATGATGGTTGAAAATTATACTAGTTTCTGCTGGCCTGGCTATCACTAAACCTAGCTCTTCGAACTTCCATTGCACTATTTCATTATTTCATTGTGTTTTCTGTCCAATAGACCACTCTAACTTTTTTGAAAAGTAATATATAAACTATAAGTTAATTTTATATAACTTATATAAAGTGTAATATAAACTTAAATATGACTGCACAGTGAACTTGAAAAAGCGAACTTTACCTTTTCAGGGATTGCCTAGCCCTGAAATAAGAATGTGTTAGTTAGGGTTTCTGCTGCTGTGAAGAGACACCATGACCATGGCAACTCTTATAAAGGAAAGCATTCAATTGGGGTTGCCTTACAGTTCAGAGGTTTAATCCATTATCAGCATGGCAAAAAGCATAGCAGCATGCAGGCAGGCATGGTGCTGGAGGAGGAACTGAGAGTTCTACATCCAGAGTCACAGGCAGCAGGAGAGTGACACTGGGCCTGGCTTCAGCATCTGAAACCTGAAAACCTACCCCCAGTGGCCACTTCCTGCAACAAGGCTGTACCTACTCCAACAAGGCCACACCTCCTAATAGTGCCGCTTCCTATGAACCTATGGGGGCCATTTGCATTCAAACCACTGCAAAGTGTATAAATGTCTACACTCAGTAGTAGAGGTGCCTCAACACTTTCATCTCAACAAAATCACTACCAAAGAGATCTTGCTTATGTATTGTAACGGATTGGGCTAACATTTATTTGTTAATATATTTTACTTTATTTAATTTTCTGAGTGTGTATATATGTGGGCACATGCATCATAGTACATATGTGGAGGTCAGAGGACAACCTGTGGGAGTCTGTTCTCTTCTTCCATCATTTGGGTCTGAGATTGAACTCAGGTGGTCAGATTTGGCACAGTTTCCTTGTCCACCGAATCATCTCACTGGCTCCCAGAACTAGCATTTATCAAGAACCTATTAGTTCTAGGTATGCATTCATTGTCTTAATTAGTTCTAAATATTACCACACGAAATGCACACCTTTTCTTAGTAATATTGTTAGTAGCAAGTAGCTATTAAGTGCTGTACTGTGGGACACTCTGCTAAGTGCCTTATTTGAATTACTTCTGAGTCAGAGTCTATTTTAGCATAGGATATCCTTAAACCCCTGTTCCTCCAGTCTGTGACTCCTGAATGCTGAGATTATTGGTAAATATTACCATTCCTAGCCCTTGAACTAATATAAGTATTATAATTAATCCTATAAGCAAGTAGTACCACTAATTCCACTCAAAGTTTAGATTGAACTTTAAAGGGGGAAAGTAACCTGCCCACCACACAGCCTGCTAGTGGATTTACACCCAACCTGATTCCACAGCTCAGACTCAAAGTCACCACAGTGGAGCCAAGGAGCCAGCATCCCTAAGGTCAGTGATATCCTCCAACTTTCTGTGAATTTTTCCATATTGTCATCCTTCCCTTTGCTCTTGGCAAAGTTCCTATCTTCTACCTTACTATCCACTGAAAGTTGGCATTCTCCAAGGGTCTGGTCCTGGCCTCTACTGTCATTGTTGTCCACGGGCTCCTGATCTTTCTGATCACAGCCACCACATTTTGGGGATTTGGACAGTTATAAGCTATCTCTCCCAGACAATATATAGGTGTCATTCTGCTTACAGAAACCCTAGGACTCCTTTCAAATTGGGGAACTCATAGTTTCATACAGAAAAAATGCATTCCAGAAGGGTTACAACTGTAAAGGCAAATTGTTAAACAACAGTAAAGCAGAGGAAAGTTAGTTTAATATATTCTTTGGTTAAGGAAGACCTTTTTTTAAAATTTGGGATTATACTATAATTATATCATTTATATCTTTATTTTCCTCTTTATTTTCCTTCCCCAGACCTTTTCACATACCTCCTTTTGCTCTCTTTCAAATTCAGGTTATCTTTTTTTGTTAATTGTTGTTACATGCATATATTTCTATACATATATATTTCTAAATATAACCAGCTCAGTCTAAGTAATGTTTTTCATATATATTGGGGGGCTAACCATTTGGTATTGGAGAACCAGCTGCTGTGTCCTTCCCTAGAGAAGACTATTTCTCCCATTCTTAGCATTCCCTAGTTGCCTGTAGTTCTTTGGGCAGGATCGAGGCCTTGTGGGCTTTCTCCTGTCCACTCTGGCATGCCTGTTATTGTCCTTCAGTTCATGGTTAGGCAGTCACGTTGGTGAGACTTTATGGGTGTAGCTTCTGACATTACACATCTCAAAGCACACATACTGGTCCTCTCGCTCTTACAGTCTTTCCACCCCTGCTTCCTCAGTGTTCCCTGAGCTTAGGTGTAGGGATGTTTTCTATCTGCTGGGACTGGACTCCACAACTCTGCCTTTTGACTTTGTAGATTTCTGCAATAGTCTCCACCTTTTGCAAAGAGAATTTCCTTGATAAGGGGTGAGGGCTCATTTTATCTGTGGGTCTAAAGACAAACATGTAGAATGTCGTTTAGAGATACTGCTTTAGAAAAATGGTGGTTGTATGTTTTCCTCTGAGATCCGTGACCTCACTAGCGTCACTAACAAGGAAGGCTTGTTAGTGTGCTGTCGTGCCCAGAAGATGTAATATATGGAATAGACAACATTCAAATTGTTCTAGAAAGTTATTGCTGACTTTAAAACACAGAGATCTCTGTGAGACCCAGAATTACCCATGATGGAAACAGTCCTCTTACCTCCAGTGATAATCACGTTTGCCTTAACGCAGTAGCAGAACGTGTTGGCTCCTCTTGGCATGGCAAATTCTCTGACAGGCCTGCAAAACAAAATTAGATGTGAAATGTTAATTTCAACTTAGAAATAAATTATGTTTAATGGCCTCATTCTAAAATGCTTATAAATCTATTTGTCCAGAGTTAACTGTGGTAAGTAATGACAGACGACTTACTGAGCCGCACAATCTCTTGGTTCTCTGTTTTAGTTGGAGTATTTCTCAAAGACCCATGGGATAAAGACTTAGCCCTAAGTTATGGTGCATTGGCACTCAGGATGGCTAAATCCCCTCCTGTGCTGCTTCATGACCGCCATTAGGTGAGTGAATAGTTTCCTCCAATGTGTGCCTTTCTCTCCCCGGACTCCTGCCACCATGACATGGTATAGCAAGTCCAAAATTAACAGGGCCAAGCCCTCACGGACTGAAACTTCCAAAATTGCAAGACATAATAGCCCATTTTTCTTTTGTATTGATTGATCTCAGGTCCTTGTAACAGCAATGGAAAACAGACTAAATATTTTAAAATGTGAAAATCATTCTTAGTTTGCTGCTGCTATGAATGCTGCTAGCCCATTGAATTTGGCCCTTGGGTCATTGTTTTCTGATTCTTGCTTGAGATTTGGGAACATCTGAAAGCCTGAAGCAGTACAGGACTATAACGATATTCAATTTTAACTTTTAAAGATTTTTTTTTATTTTAGTACCTTAGTTCTTAGGTTAACAGGAGAAAGGAGTGGAAGTCTATTGAGCACTCAGAGCTCCAGGCATCAACCAAGTACTTCACAACAGTTAATCAAAATGATTTTATGTCTGTAAATGCCTCCATTGCCATTCACGGAGGGGGAAACTAAGGCTAAGTTGTACCAATAGTCATAGGAGAAGTGCCGGGACAGAAATTGGAACCATCCCATTCAATAGCGAACTTATGGAACAATACTGTCTTATTTTCTCTGAAAGACTCTGCCTCTCCAGTGAGCAACTAAGAAAAGGTAATGTTCAGCAGTTGCTCGCTCACCTGTTGAACCTGCCAGGCTGTACAGAAGTTAAAGGCTCAGCATGCACGCTACACCAGGACAGCATGCTATGTGGCAATTAATTGCAGACCGCCATCAGCTTCCTGGTACATAGCTCAATTCCTGTAAGCTCTGCACAAAATTTGAAGCACTATGCTAATCATTTCTGGAATTAAAAATTTTTGAGAGTTTCCTTTCCTGCCCTTTTGGGAGATGTGCTGACTCCTATTTTTAACAGCTGACCAATTATGTATTTGTCTAAATGCAGTTTCATCTGAGGCCTCATCATAGGAAATTGCAGAAATCGGGGCAAGCAGCATTCGGAATGGAGGAATCCAACTGCGCGCTTGCTGTGCTCTTGTGATGGCTCTTCCGTGGCCATGGCGGCCCAGGAAAACATGCTCACAAGAATCACTTGAGAAACCTCTTCAGCTTCTAGATTTAGAAAGAGGAGGGAGTGGGGAGGGAGGGAGAGAGAGAGAGAGAGAGAGAGAGAGAGAGAGAGAGAGAGAGAGAGAGAGAAGCAGGCAGCTCAGAGGTTCCTGGAGCACCTGATGGATCAAGGAGCCCTGTTCGCTGAGATTGTCTGAATATTTTTATCTCCCTGCTTCCTGACTCTAGCTGTAATCAGCAGAGATTTAATTACCACCTACCAAATTCCAAGAGAGACGGTAAATATTAGGAAGTTCAGGATCCATCTGGAAGACAAACTTCTGACTATTGTGAAATAGATGCTCTTTGCAGCAAACACCACAGTGCACCAGTTGCTTGGAGGGTTTAACCTTCCAGCTAATCTGTTGACGACATTTAAGGACCAGGTCTGAGGGCTACCGTGCAGCATATTGTGTTTACTACAACAGACTGTGTTGGTGTGCCCGTGCATGTGTGGATGTGTGTGAATGGAAAATAAGGGTAACAAAATACGATGAAATCAACTACTCCTTTTTAGGACCACCACAAACCCCTGTGCCACACACAGAACTCTATTAATTCATCCTAGAATCCTGCTAGCTAAATGGTCATATTTTCTCTGACAAAATGTCAACATCTGATCTGAGATTTCAAAAACAACAGCTAGTATCCGCTTATGAGTGAATACGTGTTGTACTCATCTTTCTGGGTCTGAGTTACCTCACTCAGGGTGGTTCTTTCTAGTTCCATTTGCATGCAAATTTCAAGATGCCATTGTTTTTTTTTTTACCGCTAAGTAGTACTCCATTGTGTAAATGTACCACATTTTCTTCATCCATTCTTCGGTTGAGGGGCATCTAGGTTGTTTCCAGGTTCTAGCTATCACAAATAATGCTGCTATGAACATAGTTGAACAAATATTCTTGTAGTATGATTGAGCCTCTTTTGAGTATATGCCCAAGAGTGGTATTGGTGGGTCCTGAGGGAGTTTGATTCCCAATTTTCTGAGAAACCATCATACTGATTTCCAGAGCGGTTGTATAAGTTTGCATCCCATTAGCAATGGAGGAGTGTTCCCCTCACTCCACATCTTCTTCAGCATAAGCTATCATTAGTGTTTTTCATCTTAGCCATTCAGACTGTTGTAAGATGGTATTCTAAAGTATTCATTTTCCTGATCACTAAGGATGTTGAACATTTCCTAAGGTATCTTTCGGCCATTTGAGATTCTTTTATTGAGAATTCTCTGTTTAGATCTGTACTCATTTTTTAAAATTTGAATGCCCCAGGCATTCTTATTTATTGATTTTATTGAGCTCTACATTTTTCTCTGCTCCCTCCCTGTATCTCCCCTCCCCTTCAACCCTCTCCCATGGTCCCCATACTCCCAATTTACTAAAGAGATCGTGTCTTTTTCTACTTCCCATTTAGATTAGTTCCATGTATGTCTCTCTTAGGGTTCTCATTATTGTCTAGGTTTTCCTGGATTGTGATAGGCTGATTTTCTTTGCTTTATGTTTAAAAACCACCTATGAGTGAGTACATGTGATAATTGTCTTTCTGTGTCTGGGTTACCTCACTCAAAATGTTGTTTTCTAGCTCCATCCATTTTCTTGCAAAATTCAAGCTGTCGCTGTTTTTTCTGCTGTATAGTACTCCGTTGTGTAAATGTACCACTTTTTTTTTTTTATCCATTCTTCGATCGAGGGGCATTTAGGTTGTTTCCAGGTTCTGGTTATAACAAACAATGCTACTATGAACATAGCTGAGCACATGTCCTTGTGGCATCATTGAGCATCCTTTGGATATATATCCAAAAATGGTATTGCTGAGTCTTGAGGAAGGTTGTTTCCTAATTTTCTGCGATATCACCATACTAATATCCAAAGGGGCTGTACCAGCTTGCACTCCCACCAGCAAGGCAGGAGTGTTCACTTTACCCCACAATTTCTCCAGTCATCAGTGTTTTTGATATTGGTCATTCTTACTGGTATAAAATGGAATCTAAGAGTTGTTTTGATTTGCATTTCTCTGATGATTAAGGATGTTGAACATTTCCTTAAGTGTCTTTCAGCCATTTTAGATTCCTCTGTTGGGAGTTTTTTGTTTAGGTCTGTACTTCATTTTTTTTATTGGATTATTTGTTCTTTTGATGACCAATTTCTTGAGTTCTTTGTATGTTTTGGAGATCAAACCTCTGTCTGATGTGGGATTAGTGAAGATCTTTTCCCATTCTGTAGGCTGTCGTTTTGTCTTGTTGATTGTGTCCTTTGCTTTACAGAAGCTTTTCAGTTGCAGGAGGTCCCATTTATTTATTGTTTCTCTAAGTGTCTGTGCTACTGGGGTTATATTTAGGAAGTGGTTCCTTATGCCAATGCGTTCTGGTGTACTTCCCACCTTCTCTACTATGAGGTTCATTGTGGCTGGCTTTATGTTGAGGTCTTTGATCCATTTGGAATTGAGTTTTGTGCATGGTGATAGATATGGATCTATTTTCATTCTTCTACATGATGATATCCAGTTATGCCAGTACCATTTGTTAAATATGCTTTCTTTTTTCCATTTGATTTTTTTGCTTCTTTGTCAAAAATCAGGTGTTTGAAGGTGTGTGGGTTAATATCTGGATCTTCAATTTGGTTTCATTGGTCCTCCTGTCTGTTCTGATACCCGTATCAGGCTGTTTTCAGTACTGTAGCTCTGTAGTAGAGTTTGAAGTCAAGGATTGTGATGCCTCCAGAAGTTCTTTATTGTACAGGATTGTTTTGGCTATCCTGAGGTTTTTGTTTTTCCATATGAAGTTGAGTACTGTTCTTTCGAGGTCTGTGAAGAATTTTGCTGGGATTTTGATGTGCATTGCATTCAATCTGTAGATTGCTTTTGGTAAGATTGACATTTTTACTATGTTAATTCTACCTACCCAAGAGCATGGGAAATCTTTCCACTTTCTGGTGTCTTCTTCAGTTTCTTTCTTCAAAGATTTAAAGTTCTTGTCATATAGGTCTTCCACTTGTTTGGTTAGAGTTTCTCCGAGAAATTTTATGCTATTTGTGGCTATTGGTATTTCTCTGATTTCTTTCTTGGCCCATTTATCATCTGTTTATAGGAGGGCTACTGATTTTTTTGAGTTAATCTTGTATCCTGCTACATTATTGAAAGTGTTTATGAGTTATATAAGTTTCTTGATAGAATTTTTGAGGTCACTTATGTAAACTATCATATCATAAGCAAATAGTGAGAGTTTGACTTTTTCTTTTCTGATTTTTATCCCCTTGATCTCCTTTTGGTATCTTATTGCTCTAGCTAGGACCTCAAGAACTATATTGAATAGACATGGAGAGAGAGGGCAACCTTATCTTGTTCCTGATTTCAGTGGGATTGTTGTGGGTTTCTCTCCATTTAGTTTGATGTTAGCTGTTGGCTTGCTGTATATTGCCTTAATTATGTTTAGATATGTTCCTTGTATCTCTGCTCTCTCCAAGACCTTTACATGAAGGGATGTTCTATTGTGTCAAAAAGCTTTTTTAGCATCTAATGAGATGATTTGTATTTTGTATTTTGTGGTTTGTATTTTTCAGTTTGATTATATGGTTGATTATGTTGACATATTTTCATATGTTG